CGGTCATAGTTTTCTAATGACTATTTCAAAGAGTTTCGAAACTTTGTGTGCAGAAAATCTTCCAACGGCTCCAAACCTTCCCAAACGACTAGAAACGGTTAGTAACTCATTCTAATGTATAAAAACAAGTTCAAGACACTTGAAGAAGGTGAACAACACATATTCAAGCAATCAAACACAAGAGAAAAACTTTTCATTATTTATTTCTCTTTCTCTTGTAAATATTTGTGTTTTTGTGAGCTTTAATTTGTAAACACCTTCATTTTTAGAGGTTTTCTTGTTTACAATTCTTTTCCTTTGTAAAAGGCTTTTGGTTCTAGCTAATCCTTTGAAAAGCTAGGGAGTTTGTAAAGGTTATCTCTTTATCCTAGAGAAAGAAAGAACAAATTAGTTGATTTGTTGGAAAATCCCAAGTGATGAGCTTAGGTAGTGGATGTAGACTTCATTGAGAGAGTTGAACCACTATAAATCATTGTGCAAATTTTCTTATCTTTATACTCCTTACTCCCTAAATTTCAAAATGTCAATTCACCCCCTCTTGACATATTTGGGTTGATCGATCGAGCTTCATCGAACCGAACAGTTTAATTGATTTCAATAATTCTTCGACAACAAATTGTTTTTATGTCGATCAAACCAGCGGAATGCAATCTAAAAGAGAATGTATGGACATGTCGTTAAGAACCAAATCAATAAGTTATAATTTTTTCTAACAAACGTACATAACAAATAAAACATTGAAGTGTTTTCCTTATGTTAAATAACTAGCTCAATGAAAAACTAATGATCAAGAGGGCATGAAAACAACATAGGAAGGGATAGTTTATCAGTAAAGTTTTTATACCAAGAATTCAATCACAAAGAAATCATCTCATTAACAATCTTTAAGTTCTTGAAGAAGCAAAAGGACTTGGTAGTTTAAGATAAGAAGGAAAAACCAACTGATAAACCAAAACACAAATGGGACTTAATTAGCTTCCGAGTCTTCAGTTGAGATTGTTGTATTTGCAACATGATTGCAAATAAGAAATAAACATGAAGGACAAATAAGCCTTAAAAACGCATGTGGGCGATGATGGGATTTGTCTACACATTAACTTATTATTTATATAATAAAATATAATGTAATTAACTTCTAAGATCTCATTCTCCATGTTTGAGACTTTTGCAATTGCAACATGCAAATAAGAAACAAATAGGTAGACATAAGACATTCTAGTTACATAAAATCTAAAAATATTTCAAAGTAAAATCACACAAAATCAATTTAAACAATCTACACAAAGATCTAAAATTTCAAACAAATATTTTGAATTACAGTATTAATTTATTAACAAACACACCAAAATTTCCTGACCCTTCCCTTAATAACAAACACATTTACAAGAAAACGTGACACCAAAATATATTTTATAGTCCTGAATCGATTGAATTTTTCCATCAAAGACACTTGATTCACTTTATCAACTTGTTAATCCAAAACTCAAAAAGAAATGATAAATCCAAAAAATTCATGAAATTGCAAGCAAAACCCTAAAATTTAAGAATAAAAAAAGGAATTGAATAATTCCAAAATTATATCAAGATTCTGAAGTATAGAAAAAAATGCTTTAATTCTAAAGCTTGTGAAATGAAAGGGTTCATTACCTGAAAGTCAAGACTCAGAAAAGAAAAGAAAATTTGAGCTCCGATGTTTGCCTACGAAGAGATGAAATCTCCAGCGATGCTTGCAACTACGCGAAAGGGATAGAGGAAATTGGTGAGATAGAAGCTTGGAGAGCAAATATTTACGCGGTTGCAACCTCCATTGACAGCTATAGTGCTTTGAGAGAGTACGATTTTAGAAAATATGAGGAATGAAGAACCAGATTTAATGAAGTTGCTCTACTGTTGAAGATGGAGAAAGAAGAGGTTGAAAAGAAAAACTAGGGATCGTGCACGAGACAAAAAAGGATATATGAATCCTATGGTGGCATTTGCAATAAAAACGCCACTAATTATATATCTATAGCAGTGTTTATTACAAAAATGTCATTAATGTACGTGTCTTTATAGCCTACTGCGGCGTTTTTGCTAGAAACATCACTAAAAGTACATGACTATTGCGGCGCATTTGTATAAACGCCGTTAATTTTGCCATTTTGTAGTGTTTTTAATGGAAACATCGTGATATGTAAAAAGTTAGTGGGGGCTTTTTGAATAAATGTCGCTAATAACGCCGCTAAATACCAAATTTGCTATAGTGAGTGGAATAATTGAATGTCTCCCTCGAAAGAGATGGTGAAACATTTTCCCTCGCAATAAATTGTTGACATGGACATTTTCGGAATATGAACTTGAACAATGAAAAAGTAATGACTATATATAACACTTAAAAAGTAATGGTAAATTATGGTAGGCTATGATGAATTATTAAACATGAGTAAGAATATCATTTGATTATTTGATATATCACTTAAATGAAGTGATATATCACTGAAAATTTCTAAAGTGAAGTTATTGGGTTCCAGATTTGGAGAAGGCAATTATCAATAATGACATAAATTGGGCTCATATTTGGAGAAGGCGGTGAACAAAAATCAAACACATGCAACATCAATGTTTGTTCATAATTTCGCCATACTTGATTTTGATTATGTTGTCCAAGCACTTGTTGGACCACGTGAGGGTGATAATTTTGCCATATATGGTGGTAATCTCAATAAAAGATAATGTGATTGCGGTCGATTTCAAGCTTTTAGATGTCCATATGTTGACGTTGTTGTTGTATGTATGCATGTTAATGTTTTCACATACTCTTATGTTGATGATTGCTATAGTTTGCATGCTATGTGCAACATATAAACGTGTGAGTTTAAGTATCTCCCAAACGATGTTTATTGGCCACCAACAATTTCTGAAGAATAGTTGTCAAATCCACAATTACAAAAAAAGTTGAAGGGACAACTTGAATCTAGTCGAATTCAAAAATCATAACGTTGGCCAACGGCTATAAACGACTACTTATTTAAACCCAAAATTACTTGTCACTTCCACATGACGAGTTACGTGATTTTCTATTTTTTATTTTTTGATAAAAATACTCCAAATTTAAAAAATAATAGTATTTTAATCAAACTCATCACCTCAACATAACGAGTTCCAAGAAAATAATTAAATATTAAACTAGACGAATCGATCAAATAAAATATATTTTTCAATAGAACTCATTAGATAAAGATGACAAAATCTAAAAATACTATAGCTAATACCATAAATCCCAAAATAAACTTTTATTTTCACATTGGGCTAATCAATAAATCTATTTGCCGTATTGGGGGAAAAGACCAAATGAATGGGTGTCATAACCACATTGGACAGAAACTGAAAGACAACAAAGTTTTTCTGAGTCGCCATGTCCTTTTTCTCCGGGTAAAAGTTCCAACTCAAAAGCTGACCAGAGCACACCCCATTCTCTTTCAAACTCTTCTTTCTTTCTGTTCTTTATTTAACTAAAGTAACCTACAAAAATCCAAATGAATATGTGCATCCTTTGCCATTTGCTGGATTCTAAACCTATCCAATTTGGTGATATTTAATTACATCCTTCAAAAAATTATTCAATGATCAAAAAATTATTTTTATAAAATGTTCGGATTTGAGCAACTTTTTATGTATAATATGTATGCATTAATAGTTTTATTAACGGATGTTATATTAGAATCACCTCAAATTATTTAAAAGAGAATAAACAAAAATAAATCACACTGTTCAACATCAATGAAGTTGTCAAATGAGAATAGAAAAAGATTCAAACTCTTCAATTTTTCAAATCTAAGATTTAGATGTTCAAATTGTCAAAAAAAGTCATTAAGGACCAAGATGTTTAAAAGGTTTCAGGGAGAATGTGGACCAAAAACATTTTTAAGGACCAAGTTGAAAAGGTTAAAATAATCGGGCACTAAATGTAACTTATTTTTTTCAAATAATATAAAAATAAAAGGCAAACTCATGATCACGTGGTACTATTGATGTGTCGGTATCGCCAGCTCATCTACTGGTAATCTCACTTACAAGTCAAAACAGGGTCAAAGGAGCACGACGCAAATGCAACACTATCCCTTAAATAAATAAATATTTACCTTTTAAGAAATTTAAAAACTCCAAAAACCTATCCCTTAAATAACACTGATGTTGCATTGAATGCCAGCAATTGAAACTGTTTCAACATCCCATTTCTTCACCAAAACCCATCCATTTTTTTTATTCGATCCCTTGCACCCCCAGCTAACACTCTGCATTTGACCTAGATTTAATACATGCTATCTTCATATTAAGTTCAATTGGTTGAATATTTATTAATATTCGGATAAATATCAAGATTCAAAATCTTTTTAAGATATCGACAACATATATACATCTTGTAGATGTAACTGTTTGAATAATAAATAACTAAAAAAATAACATTTCTATTAACAATTAATATCAATTGATTGGTTCAATGATTTTCCGCTTGAGATCTATAATATTATTTCTCTTATACTATATATTATATTTATAGAGTGTAAAGAGACGACGGAGTTGTTCTTGGAATCTTCATAGAGAGTTTTCCAAGTGTATTTAAGAAACAAGAATCATGGGGATTGGTTTCGAGAAAAGAGAGTCCCTTGTTTATGTATTTATTATTATTTTTATCGATTATGGTAGAGTTTAAGAGCAAAGGACAGCTTCTTAGTAACTTCCCCGAAAATATAAAATAAACAAATAATACATGGAGGATTCTGTTCCTGTGAGTCTTCAAAAATTGATCATCATCATTGAATGCTAATTAACATGTCATGACAAAAAGCCATCACATCATGGACATGACATACTTGAATTCAAAAAAAAAAGCACATAACATCAACTCATCAAACTCCCCTCCCTACATAGATATAAATACAAACATCTACTTAGTAAGTTGTTGTAACAGTGCAACCAGTGTCCCTATAGAATTTATTAGGGTTTCTTCTTTCTTTTTCCCATGTTGTTTTAAAAAGCTCATGTCTTACTTAGAAATGTATAATGATTCCGAGCACAAAAGTCGTCGTCGTCGTCATCATCACCACTGTGCCCCAATGAGCCCAAGAATCTCTTTCTCAAACGACTTTGTGGAGACTCAGCAGATTATGCAACAAGAGAGGAGCTCCAGGGAGGCTCCGGTGTCGTCGGACTTCGAATTCTCGGTGTCGAACTACTCCATGATGAGTGCCGATGAGCTTTTCTTTAAGGGAAAGCTTTTGCCATTTAAGGATAACGGTGGGAACCAAATGCAAAGGACTTTGAGAGAAGAGCTTCTTGTGGGGGACGATGATGATAATGTGACACTAAGGCCTCCAAAGGGTTCCACTTCCACTAGGTGGAAGGGGTTTCTGAGTCTCAAGAGGAATCACATTGGTACTTCCAGAAAAGCTGACAAGAGGGAAGGGATTTCTAGCAGTAAAAGATCTGGTTTTTTTCAACAGGACACCCATGTTACCAAGACTTCACAGGTGATAAAAAACAAACCATTTTTTCCCTTTACAAAGCTAACAATTTGAGGGTTGGTTTGATCTAATTTCATTAACGTTACTTGTTACAGGACCATTTGGGCGAAGGAGAGTCAAGTTGCAGGGACGTGGAGTTTGGGGTATAATCACAGTTTTGGAAGGTACAACTTGTAGAAATGTGGGGCATTTTTCAGAAAGAAAAATAGAAGATTGAGGATGGATTAATGGGGCTTGTTTTAAACTCTCTTTTTTCTTCTCCTTCATTTGAGGTCTATTAATCAGAAGTGGGTTTCTGTAGTGCATTTTATCTCCAAGGAGATGGGTATCTGGCTGTTTGTTTGTACAAAATGTTTGCAGTTGAAGAACTTGTTTCTAATGTTGAGGAATGGATGTTAGATTCTCTGGTCGTTGTTTAAATTGTTTGTATTTGAATCTAGTGTTGTACTTTTCATTGATGCTTATAAAAAAAAAAAAGGAGAAAGAGGATATGGGCACATGCTAGTAAGTGTTTACATATGGAGGTGGGACGGTGGAGGATTGGCAATGAATGTGACAGCTAATGCACCACTGTTTACCATTTGTTTAAGGATATGTTTAGCTTTTAGGCCATACTAATCTTAATTTGGGATTCAATATCACTTTCAAAGTTTAGTTTGCGCCCACTACAGGATCCAAGTTACTCTCTAAGCTTTCATCAAACCAAAGACAAAGTGTTGAATGCAACAACTGATAGTAATACATGTATTTAATGCTCTGTATGCATCCTTAATACGTATACTTAATAAACACCACGATTGCTTTTCCTGCACTCTGGACATAATAAGGATAAAATATTGGACAACAATTTGTTTAATCTTAAAATTAATAAAAGAGATATATTTTTTAAATAGTTCATTAATTATAAAATAATATTTATTTAAATATTTTTAGTTTATAAACAACGTAACATTCTATAAATTTAATTGCGGGACCTTTATTGTATCATTGTGTAAACTTATATTTTTTTCATAAGTTTTAAAAGGATTAAATAACAATTTACTCATTTTCGGGCTTTCGTCACCCATTCCTATATTTGGATTTCAAAATTTTGCCTTCAGAAAAAAAGTTACATATTTCAGGATTGCTCAACATGATTCTCATTTTAATTGCAGCCTCTAATTGAAAACATGTCCTCAGAAATTTGACAGAAAAAATTAATTAAAGCTATATCAATATAAAATAAGATATATTTTAGATAAAATTTAACGCGATTCGATCTTATCTACTTGCACGGATGAGATGAATAATCTTGAAATATGTAATAACTTGATACATATACCAAAACTCAAATATCATATGTAGAAAACACGAAGAGTATAAATACATGATATCACATGTATCTCAAAACTTGATACAGATATCAAAACTTAAATATCTCAAAACACTCTTCCAACATCTCTATAAAATATCTTTACAACATAAGAGCAACTCCAGCGCTGCGCTAGAGTGGAGTTGCTGAAGCACTGTGGAGTCTCCAGCCATACGCCAGATGCATCTCCAGTCTGAAGAGCAATTGTAGCTCGACGCTACATGTAGCACGCCACTGTAGCAACGCTACAAAAAAATTTCATGATTTTTGGTTTTTTATTTAATTATCTTTTTAATTTCATTTTCTTTTAAAAATTAATTTATCTTATTATATATTTTATCTTTTTAATTATAATTTCTACACAATAAAATAAAAATTAAACATAATATAATATATTCAAGTTGATTAAATTGCAAGATTGATAAAAATATATTTAAATTAGATAAATAAACATACTAATTTTGTTGAAGATGTGTCGCCTCCGAATGTCGAATTTGTTGAAGATGATGAGACTCAATTTCAAGAATTCCTTACCTGATTTAGACAAATCAAAGATGCAAATGCTCATTTTGCTCTACGAAATGCACTAATTGAGCATATGTGGAATGAATATTCTAATTCGGAGAATTAAAATAAATAATTATGTAACTTATGTTTTTCGCATTATTATTATTAATTTTAATTTTCTTATTTATTTGTATTTTCGCAATGTTATTTATGAATGTTTTATTTATGCTTATTTATCTTAATATTTTTTAGAAATGTATATGTTTTATTTTATATCTGTAAAATCAATATTATAATAGTTAAATATTGTAAATAAAGTAGAGTTGGTGGTAATGTAGAGATAACGCTGGAGATGAATTACTGTTTCAATCTCTAGAGTAGAGATATAGATGCTGTAGAGTAGAGATGATGACTGGAGATGGCCTAAACCTCAAAAGTTACATAGATAACAAAAAAAAAATTATGTCTCTAAAAAAATCTCTCTCATATAAGCCTAAAGGCTAAGACATAATTTGTATTTATATAGCCAAATATTTGGTCACCAATAATTCTTTTTCTATAAAAATTCTTGCATAAAATAAATATTTGTTTTATTAAATAAACGTAATTACCAAGTAATCTTCAACCACTAGAATTACAATAAAATTCAACTTAATTATATGTTATAATTTAAGTCAAAATATAACAAATCTTCTCATTGACCTAAATATCAAAATTTTGTCTTCAAGTCTTCAAGTTTTCAACAACTTCAATTCTTACTCAATATCATCTTATATGTTTTCAAAATCGCTAACAAAATCCACAACAACAAATTCCTTCAAAACTCCACAACTCGAACAATAGCACATGATACCACTTATTAGGAATTTGAAAGCAGAAAAATAATCAAAGCGATATCAACATAAAGTAAGACATACATAAGAGACAATATTTAACGTGGTTCGGCCTTATCTACCTTCACGAACGAAATGAACTATAATCCACTATAAACATAAGGAACACGAAAAGTACAAATACATGATATCGCATGCATTCCAAAACTCAATGTAGATATCAAAACTTTATATATTCCAAAATACTCTTCCAACATCTCTACAAAATCATCTTTGCAGTATAAACCCTAAAAGTTATAAAGACCCCAAAATTTATAGAGATCCCAAAATATATTTTCTCTCCAAAATCATTCTCTCATAATCCGAAAAGCTAAGACATAATTTGTATTTATAGTCTCAAATAGTTAATCACTAAGAATTCTTCCATAAAATAAATATTTATTTTAGTAAATAGACATAATTACCGAATAATCTTCTATTAATATAATTACAATAAAATTCAATTTAATTATCAATTATAATTTAGTCCAAAATATAACCCATGAAAATCAAATTAGTCAAAAAGTAAATTGATTTTGAGAGTACAGTGAAAAGATACATGTTTGATATATTTAAAATATATGAAATACTCTACGATTAATTATAGTGGATGCCTCCATATTTATATTTTAAATTGACTCTTAAATTCTTAAACCTACTGACTTTTCACTCAAATACTCATATTGTATCAATTTGAATTGTTATTAGGTGGATATAATAAAGTTTAAAATTTATTCAAAATTATTATTTCTTAGATCATTAGGTGCATATAATAAAGTTCAGATTTAACTGAAATGTTTTTTCTCATATTATTAAATCGAGGGGGGGAAACAGAAATACTGAGTCAAACCAAGCATTCGGTTCAGGTTTAGAGTTATTAAAATTGGTTTTGGATTGATGTTACCACTTAAACCACAATTCAGCTCAGCTTGTTTTCTCCGCATCGAACTCGTTTTAACCAAATCGAACTGAATGGGCGGTTCAGAACTAATGGTCCTAATGGATCATGATCTTGTTTGGGCCGATTAGGCATCACCCACGTTGATATATAAAATCATCGCATCTAACTAAATTTTTAGTGCACGGACCATGAATTTATTTGTCTTTTGTTGAAAATTTCCAAGATTTGATATAATGGTATATCCACGTCTAATTTATGGTTGGTAAATGTCTATGTTTTTTATACTGATTTTTATGATTGTGTTTGTACTGAAATTTTATTGATATTTATTTAATATATAAAAAAAATTATATTATTAATATATGTATTATCTTTAAAAAACATTTTTAGATCTATCACTACACTAACTCGATAATTAATTTGATAAGAAAATAAAAAAATGTCATTTTTCAGACTCAATAAATAATGTATTAAATTACCAAAAAATAATTTATTAAATAACATTACAAATATTATCTGCAAAAGTAAAAAAGAATATAATATATATATATATATATATATACCTTCTATGATCAAATAAACTCTCTTAAACTTGAATTAGTTTGTATTAATATTATAAATAAATTATTCGTACTAAAAAATATTATAAATAATTATAATTAAATTTAAACACAAATTCCAACAATTCAATTAAAAAAAGTCAAATAAAGATCAAAATTGAGTTCAATTCCCAAGACTTTAAAAATCGGTAGAATTAACACTACAAAAACATAAAGACTAAAATTGAATGATATTTATAATTTGATGGTTGATATAGGATATTTCAAAGTTGATAGATCAATTTAGTATGGGGACCTTACGTGTAATTAAATCAATTATTTATTTAAAACTACTTTTAGTTATAAATTTTTTTATATTTCTGTAATACTCTTATAATTATTGTTCCAAGAAAGGTCAAATTTCCACCCACCGATAAACTCCAATAGAAAACGGGAATGAATTATGGTCGTACATTGGGGATTTGGGGATAAGATTTGCACCAACTATCAAGATTCCAATACAAAACAAGTGTTCCTCACACACTTAGCATGGCACGTGTACAGTTCTATCTTCTCTGCTCTACATCAGGCACCATCGACTCTTTCCTTATCTTCATTCATCTTTTGTCCCCCTTCATCTTAATTAACAGTTTTATGATAACATCCAAAGAAAAATTACTTGCAAATAAAAAGAAGAGATTTTTCTGTTAGTGTTAGTAAATTTTATTAAATTAACGCAAAAAGAAGAAAACTACAAACTAAAGAATTACAGCTATAACTCACGAAAGCAGTGGCGCCGTACCAAGGAAACAAGGAAGAGAGGAACAAGCAGAATTTAGCAGAAGAAACAGACACGGATTTTTTAATATCCCCCCCCCCTTCGTTTACTTCTTCGTCATTCTATACATAGAAGAAACCCTATAAATGAAAACAAGAAACTAAAATCTTAAATTAGTAGCAGTACCTAAGATAAATCGCCTGGCCTAAATAAATTATCGATTGCTCGACTTTTTGTTCATGGCTTTAGTCGGATCCACTCGTAACGCCCTCCCAAAGGTTCATCTTTCACAATATCGTAGTTATACCTAGAAACAGTAAACAAAAAAAATCCATTTAGTTTCAAAATTGCCGCTTGGGTTCTAAGAAAATTTAACAGCAGAAAAGAAATTCTAGATCTTTTTAAAAGTGAATGTGCATGAACTTACTTTTCTGCAAATTGTTTTTGAAGTTTTTTCTCGGCAGGAGCAAAGAATTCTTCGAGTTCAGCTTCGGTTGGCATTTTCTCTACCGTTGATCTACGGCGAGAGTTCGTCTCCGATGACCTCGACGTTGAATCCAGGTATTCTGGTTCAGCTCGGAGATCACTCAACGCCGTTGTTTCTCCCATACTAGAATTTACAAAAGAGCAACAGATTTTGAGCGGAGTATACAAAGAAAAGTAGAATTTAAAACCTAAAAAGAATTTTTTTAAATGGTCTGCTGTTTTTGAAATTAGAATTTAAGATACATGAAACAGTAAGTTACAGTAACTTAAATATTAAAAAAATAAAATATACATATAATTATTGTTGAAGTGTTACCTCTCGCTGCTGCTGCTGAAATGCGTGAATGTTTCAACTTCAATACTGTCGTCCTGCAAAAATTCAGAAGAAAAAAATCTAGAATTTAGTAGAAGCAATTAAAGCTGGGACAAAACGAAATTCCTAGAATCCATAAACACGTAGCTTAATTATTATACTTTTAAAATAAATAAGGAAGTTTCGAAATTCACCTCCAGATCTGGCAACTCTACATTGATCCTTTCATCGCTCGATCCGATTTTGCAAGAAGAGCATGACACTTCATCATCATGATCCGAGTTAGCGCTCAAACACGGATTTCCTTCACGACGATGATGATCTACCAAAATTCTCCGACTTCTCAACTGGATATACGACGTAATTGAGTTCGTTGAAGAAGTTACTTTATTATATTCAGCCTCTTCGTCGTCGTTCAATCTTCTGCGTTTCTTATGAACCGTTCCAGTTGCGGACATGGCACTCGTTTGTACACCGGCGTCAACTAGCTCCATAACTGCAATTCCTCCAAGCGTTCTACACTTTCTCCTCATAATTGGAAGAAAAAAAAGGAATGTAAAAAATTCTTGATCTCTTTTCTCTCTTCTTTTTGTTCTTTTAGAGAGCAAGAGAGAGAATTCGATTTTGTTGGATTGCAGCGTTCGTTTTCTGGTTTTTGTTGGATGATGGTGATGATGAGAGAGAGAAGGGACGGTACATTGAACGGTGAGAATTTTCTTTTGCGGTTTTGAAGGGGGTGGGTTGTGGGTGATGGTGGTCCATTTGACAGCGACGGGGAATCTGTAACGGGAAATTTGACGGCGTCGTAACAGGGATATGGAAAGTGTAACGTGAATACACCGAACATTAAACTAATTAAATAATAGGGTAAGATCTTATTTAGTACTTAAACTATTACTTTTGTTATGTTTTGGTATCTACATTTTATTTTTTAAACATACCTAATATTTAGTTTAATTTTCAATTTGTTACATTGTTATTAAAAAATTAATTGAATTATTGACATAACGATTTTTAATGATGGTGTGATAGTACCTTATGGCTATATGTCAATATCACCGTTAAGTTTTTAACAGCATAATATCAAAATAAAACCTAAATTAAATGTCAAATATGATTTTGAAAAAAAATTAAAATTTAGGTATTAAAATGAACAACAATTACAGCACATTTTCTTGGTATTTTGTTACCTTTATTGTTTTTTTTTAGTTCTTTGGCTTTTTTTGTCATTTATTTTCTCTAAAGTAGAGTGCAAGGTTCTTAACCTTGTGGTCGTGGGATCGAGTCTCACGGTGGGCAATTCATAATTGTCGGAGGTCTTCCACGGAAGTTGCTCTCAACCTAGTGTTGGGGACAGCCTACTACCCTACCTCCTCCTTACCCCATTACATATAGGAATAGGGTCAGCTAAGGTTTAATTTTAAGTCGTCGCGACTAATTAATATGTTCATTTATTACCCGGTTAATCTCTCATGTTTATTTAATTTTAACACATATCTTACATTCGTAGATAGATTTCTCACATTGTTTGACTCTAATTTATATTTCTTGATAGTCTTTCAAGATTTAAATATCACTTTATGGTTTATTTATTATAGTAGTAAGATATGTTCCTATAAAAACCATTTCTGTCAAAAAAAATTATAGAACTAATGTTTTAAGACATTGACATTTGCATAAAGAAGTACTCATCCTTAATTTAATTTATACAATCATTTTTATTAACAAAATTAACGTTTGGATTGAGATTTGAGGGACTTCATCCTTGATCTTCGATCCTCATACTTTTAATTATTTGTTTTAGAGATTGTGGATTAAAATAAAAAATTCTTAAAGTATGTTTTATGATTAAAGTTGAGTCAATTATACTATTAATGTAGTGGAAAAAATTATATTTACTCAAATTTCCAATTAATGCTTAATTAAAAAGTAAAACTAAGGGAGATTTAAATTATTTAAATATTATATTAGATATAAACCCATTGATATTTTCTTCTCTCACAATTGATTAAAATATGATTAAAACTTCACATATATGTTATACGTTAATAATGCATTAAATTTCACAAACCAAAAAATATATATTGTTATCGAAAATATTATTTTTTTAATAATATTTTTAATCGTGTCTAATTTACATAATTTTTAATCTTAGTTTTTTTAAGATTTAATCTTAAATTAATTTTTTTTTATAGATTTTTGCCCCTTATGAACGTTCGAGCGGTGAGCGTAAAAGTACAGGGACATGGTCATTTAATAAAAGGGCATAACGGCGGAGCAGTTAGGTTTATCAATCTTTATGATTGATACCGATGGAAATTTTGCATGTTCAACATGCACCCATCTTTAATACTTTAATAAAGGAATATTTAATTTAAGGAATAATATTAATTTGATAAATATAAATTAAAGATGATAAAATATTTAAATTTCACAAATTTTGATTAAATCTAATATTGTAGACACCAATTTTTTTAAAAGATAGAAGTAACAAGAGTTCATCTCCTAAAAGAACTCTTTCACAACCATATCTTTTAAAGCAACAACCACACCAACAAAGGTACAACAACTGAGCAAGGAGTCTAGTTGCATTACGATTCTATTGTTAGTTATTTTTTTCACTAAAAATACATGTAATACTTCCCATTTGTAAGACACGATTATCATACGGGATTACGCACACAAAAAATACCCAAAGCAAATATGCAAGAAGCCCCAAAGATTTACTTTTAATTTTCAACAGAGAAATAAAAAAGATATTTTTACCTATATTGCTTCGATTCTCGTTTGCATGTGACTTGTTTCACTTCTTCTTTTCCGTTTTTACTTTGAAAAGGCCGATGAACACAAGGGAACCGAGATCTTTTCACTTAGATCTACGCTTCCCCGAGGCATATTTTGAAAAACCGGTTTGATTTTCGGTTAAAGGATGGGAAGAGCTTTTTAAAAATCTATATTAGTCCATTTATTTATTATATGGATATTTTATTCATTTATTTTTATTATTCATGTTATTATTATTATACGTATACATATATATTTTAAATTATTTTCATTTTTTTACTATATTTTATTATTATTATTATTATTATATATATATATATATGTTTCTTTAATATTTTACTTATAAGTCTATTATTACTATATATATTGTAATTAGCTTTATCTAATTATATATTTTTTATACTTTTAATAGTTTATTTATATACCTATTATTAATATATATATTGTTAATTATTTTTATTTGATTATTTCTTTATTTACGTAATATATCTTATAACTTTATATATATATATATATATATATATTATTTTTATTTTTATTTTGTTTTTTTTATCATTATTATATTATTTTTTTAAAACCTTGTGCCTTTATATATATATATATATATATGTGTGTGTGTGTGTGTGTGTGTGTTTCTTTAATATTTTACTTATAAGTCTATTATTACTATATATATTACAATTATCTTTATCTAGTTATATATATATTTTTATACTTTTAATAGTTTATTTATATACCTATTATTAATATATATATTTTTAATTATTTTTATTTGATTATTTCTTTATTTACGTAATATATTTTATAACTTTATATATATATATATTATTTTTATTATTATTTTCGTTTTTTATCATTATTATATTTTTTGTTTTAAAAACCTTGTGTCTTTATTATTATTATTATTAAACATTATATTATATATTACTAACCTAGAGGACCCATTTTTTTGTTTTATTTCTAACTAAAGTCTCTCCCGCTTTCCTCTTTTTGTCTTATTTCTGACTAAAGCCCCCCACTTTCGGTGAAGTGAGAGGATAGCTTTTCTATTTTTAAATATTTGTTGTATATATATATATATATTTTTTCATTTTTCAAATATTACTATATATAATTATTACTTTACTATTTTTTTCCTTATCTTATTTATTTATTTATTTTATTTTTCCCTTTTATTTTATTCTCTTTATCTTATTTGTTTTCTTTACCTTGTTTATCTAACACATTTCTCGATTTTTTAAGGATATTTTCAAATCAATCTAAGGTAAGTAATTGGGATCATATTTTTACCTTTTAATTTTAACTTATAATTTTCTTAATTTAAGACAACTGAGAATTACATAGTACCGAAAGGGCAGTTCAAGGGTGCTAACCCTTCCTTGACCATAACCGGCTCCCGAATCCGACACATCTTTGGTAAGACGCAGATCAGGTAAGAAATAAGGTATCCGATCTACCTATTTATCTTAAAATAAAAGATCGGTGGCGACTCCAATCCACATTTTCCTAAGTCGAAGACCAATTCCGGGGCCCAACCGAAAGACGGTTGTGACAGCTTGGCGACTCTGCTGGGGACGCAGGTAAGTGAGTCAGGCTAAGGTAATTTCCAGTTGTCTTTTTAACGAAAAGGGTAAATTTAAATTTTTAAGTAACATTTCGATCCTTATTGCTTACTTTTGATTATTATTTTTCGAGTAAATAGTTGTACTAATCGTTTTCTCGTGATTTCAGCCTTCAAATATTTTTCATTTAAGGCTTTATACCCGAGATCTAAACCATGTCTTAAGTGGGGGTGAAAGCGACGCCTTCGTGTGAATTTATTCACCGTGCAGGCCTAGCAAGTAGCCTTCGGGATTCATATACCTTATGTCTTCGTGTGAATTTATTCCCCGTGCGGGCATAAGGGAATGTGTCCTCTCGAGTTTAACTTAGTCCACACAAGCCTGTGATGGGTTTAGGACTAATGGTCTGGCAAGCCTAAGGGGGCACCAGCAAGGAGAACTCGAGTACCGTTTTTAGAACCTAAATCGGGAAACCATGGAGAATTAGAGCCTACCCCGAAACCACATTCCAAAACCTAAGATATTTTTACCCTAACCATTTTCTTTTTTGTGTTTTTTTTCTTTCGTCATTTTATTTTTATTTTTATTTTACTAATCATTTTGCCTTTGTGTTTGTTTTCTAGCATTTGCATCATAACAAGAGGTTATTGATCCTTAAAAAACGTTTGTTAAACACAAAATAAATCTGAATTAATGGACAAAGGTGTTGTAATACTAGAGATTAAAACGTTGAGGCATGACTATAGTCCGAGAAGACTTAGAAAGAGAAGGGAGATAATCTTCAGGGAAATTATGTGTCAAAGCTTGTTAGTTACGCATCTGTCAGCCTGAAACAAAATAATGTCCAAGAACTGTGAAATATTTGGGACAGTTGGGGGAATGACATAAAGCAGAAGTTCAGCCAACGATATGGTGATATTACCCTCTTACTCCATGTCAAGACTGATGAGCCCCTTCTCCGAGCATTAATTCAATTCTGAAACCTGGGATATAATTGTTTCAAAACATCAGACTAGAGAGGGCATATATCAAACACATCATGAGTCAGCCTTTCAAGAACGAACTAGCTAAGATTGCAGGGGTTGATGAAAAATGGGGGTGACTGATCGACTTCGACACAAAGGTAACGAGGAAGGAATCGAGTGGATTCACATAAGGCAACTAATGAAGAACCGCCCTGATGAGTGGAAGACTATAGACTTTTTTGCACTAGGTCTGTACGGTCTGGTTATCTTTCCGAAGACTTTGGGCTGTATCGACGCAGCCGTGGTAGAGCTATTCGAACAACTTCCAAGGCGAGTCAACCCAGCACCGACCATCTTAGACGAAACCTTTCGAT